CCCCTTCTGCCTAATGCCCCCACAACCTCAGCCCCCTCATGCTGCTTCTGCCCCCATCAGCCTTGGGTCCCTGCTCCCTCTTCCCCCACCCCATGCTGCTTCTCCCCCAAAACCTCACTCAGTAGCATACGCCTCTTTTCTAAATTATGCCATCAATCTTTGATCTAACCTTCTACATCTATCGCAACATAAGGGGCAATTTGTTTTTTACCAGGTACCAAAAGAAAACTAAACCTTCTAGTCACAAAATAAGGAATGAGATGAAGAGGGAGAGCCTGTTCAGCAGCAACAGCCAGATGAGAAGCCAACCTCCCTGTTTATACAGCCAGCAGGTGAAAAAAGGAAGCTGGAATTGGTTTCAGGTTCCTGTACCTGGGTTATAGATCTTACATTGGTCTACAGCAGCCAGAAGAGAAAAGGAGCATTTTCTTACTTTCCTAGGTAACCACTGGCCTAGAAAATTCTCTGCTAGTTCATAGCTTCCTGTCTCTCGGCAGTTGAATACAAGGTATATCTATGTTACTCTATCACCCATCAGATTTCTGCTCTGAGGGGAAACTTATTACTATAACCATTCCTCAAGTCTTTGTTCTGAGTTTCTCTTCTAAGTGAATCGCTCTGTCTCTCTTTCCCCATTGTTTCTAGACTTTCTAAGATATTCGAGTCCTCAATATTTGTACACAAATATAATCTCAAGGTAAATCTTTGTCTGATTTATAATCTTTCGGGTATTAAACACTTGCTTTCTGATCAGTGATCTAAGACTAGAATGTAGAAAGCTTTACTGTATTATTAGTGCTCTGACAGTATAAGTCTGATATTCACAGAACAGATTTTAAGTATTATATTAATTTTATCAATGTCTTGCTACTCCCGAAATATGGCTTGGGACAAAAATTATTACATTATTTGCATACCTGATTCTTGAAAATGGCAGAGATTCTTGGTTTGTGGCACCTAATTCAAAACCACAGTACCAGAAGGTTAAAAGGGAACTCCAGGATCACATAGTCCAAGCCCCTGCCCAGAAGCAAGGTGCACTATTCACAGACTAATGCCTATTTAGCCTCTTCTTGAAACCGTCAAAAAAGGAGATTCCACAACGTCCCAGGGCAGATAGTTCCACTGTCCTGCTTGTCTTATAGTTAGGAAGTTTTTCCAGAGATTTGATCTAAATCTGCTTTGCTGCAGTGTAAACCTATTGCCTCATGTCCTGAACTCTGAGGACAAACAGCAGATATAGTTCTTAATTTCCTTTTCTTCACACTAAACATGCATCATTCTCTCAGAAAATCCTTTCAGAATGCATCCAATTACTTTTACCATCTTTTTTACTGACCTTTAGATCCTGTCCACTTTCTTTACATACCTCTTAAAATGCAGCACCCAGAACTAGAAACTATACTCCAGTTGAGGTCTTACCAGTGCAGAGTAGAGCAGTATTATCATGTCCTGTTCTACATACACTACTCCTCTTAATACAGTCCAAAATGTTTTCACTCATAGCACATCAAACTAATGCTGAATCTGTGATCTACCACAGCCCCCTAATCTTCTCAGCAGTGTTACTGTCTATCCAAATAGCACTTTTTCTGCAATTGTTTGTTCTTTCCTAGGTGTAGCACGTTACATTTGTCATTACTGAATTTCATCTTGCTGTCCATAGGCCAGTTTTCAGGAAGCTTCTGAATTCTAACAATATCATCAAGTGCCTAAAAGTTCTCCAAGTTTTGTATCCTAAAAGTGCTCCAAGTTTTGTATCATCTGAAAGCTTAATCAGTACACGTTCTGTTTTTTCATTTGTTTGTTAAACAGCAAAACAGAGCTACCCAAGACTCTTAAGATCTCCTGCCATTTTGACATCAATCTATTTTTTATCATTACTCTTGCTTGTAGTTATTCAACCAGTTGTTTCCCCCTAGGAGTAATTCTATCCAGCCCACATTTCTGCAGGTTAGATCTGAGAACATGAAGTAAAACTTCTGTCAAGAGACTTACTGATGTCCAAGAATATGTCCATTGCATTTAAGAGTATGTCCACTGCAGGAGATATGAAGTAGGCAGGTTGGAGGGAGCCAGGTTGCAGGGAGCAACAAGTTAATCACACCATAAGTGTAACATGCACCAGGAGGAGTGGGGGAAGGGGGAGAAAATGGAGCTGTAGTACACCCCAGTTAGAGAGAACTGCCAACAGCTGCTTTTGAAATCCTCCAGCTGGAGGTAGAGGTGGGGGCTGGGGGCACAGCAGGGGGGGTTAGACATCTGTCAGTAGTTGAACCACTCCATTTCTGAAGTATTTGATGTTAAATCTCTCTCACCCAATGTAACTGAAGCCCATGCAAAAGATGTAGGTAAGTGACAGCTTTCATGGTACCTAAAGCTGTAGCTATATTAGTTACTGTAAACAGGAAGATACTACTTCAAAGACTGGTAACTAGAAATCCATGAAATCAAGGACAATTACCTTATTGCTGAGATTATATGAACATATAACATTTATAACTACAAAGCAAAAGTTCAGAGGGAGAATGAGACAAATCTACTAAATGTCTTGCATTTAACTATCCAGAAAGTTGGTTTTTAAAACACCAGTTTACTAGCAATGCATATTTTTAGCACAGCTCTAGTTAATAGTATAAACTAGAAAGTGTAGAGTAAACCCTGCATTAGAAATTGTATTTTTAGGTGGCATACTTTAAGTGGTGTGCTTTACATTTTCCATTAAATTAAAAAAAATATTTGTTCTACATTTTAATTGTCATATGCTGTAGTGTTTTATCTATGAAAAATGTAAGTCCAAAAACAATATCCATGCTCTATATTCTCAATACATATTCTGAAATCTGTTTTCAACATGTCACTACTATCATGCTGAAAACTACTATCATTCAAACTATCCATAAAGTGGCTATGTTTATTGTTCAGTGCATGAAAATGTAACCATTTTGTTCAGCCAATTCATAATGATGGCCTCCTTCTGCAGTTAAGTATTTTCACCCTTTCCCTCTTCCCAGTCTCAGGTTGACAACAGGGAGCTAAATATGTTACTGGCTCTGAATCAGAGCATATATTCTTTTTTAACAGCTTACCATCCTCTTAAAAACATTAGAACACAAACTACATGAGCCTTCCCTAAATAGTTTGAGTTTAAAACATTGTTGTTGTTGTTTTTTGTTTGTTTGTTTTTTTTATCAGCAATGATTTTCTTAGCCCAGAATGTAAAGGAAAATGGATTTTTACTAAAAAGATAAAGCAACATAGCAAAAGTTGTGCACTTACCAAGTGAACATAAGGCACAAAGTATCCAAAAAGGGCAGCTGGGATTCCAAAAGCCCAAATCCGATAACCCGCAACTTTGAAAATGGAAAAATTGAAAATCTTTTTTGCAGGAGGAAATTTGAACTTGCCCTTCTTTCCACCCTCTGTGTCTTTGGCATGGGGAATGAGAGGCTTGTAAGTGAAGCCAGCGAGGAACAGAATAAACATGAGGATGCACAGGACCCGTAAAGTGTTGAATAGGCCAACTGAATCAATCAACACTCTCAGAAGGAAGGGCAGTGACACAGTGAACAAACTGCTGCCGGCAGTGACAATGCCATTCACTAGTCCTAGGCGCTTCTTGAAATAGTGCCCCAGAATGACCAAGGATGGTTGGTATGCAAATGAGCAGCCACAGGCAAATAAGATTCCATAGGTGAAATATAGAAGTTCAATGGTGCTATATAAAAAAAAAAGATTGGAAAATGTCATTAATATGCCTTATTACAACAATATGCTCACATTCAACTTTCACATACAAATACATCAAATATTATGGAAATAATCATTTATATTTCAATTAAGCTAGAACTATATTGCATCAAATGAAGTACACAAAGTCAGTAGGAAAAACAGACTAGTTAATAATCTTTCATTGGCCAGATCAAGAGTGAAACTTTTTCCTTGGAATAACATCAAATAGTCTGATTAAAAGAATGTTAAGCTTACCTTCAAAGAGACACTGTCAGGTTGAATTAGACAAAAAAAACAAAGTCAGTACACCTGCAGTGTTTTGCAATCAAAATTATATTTTGTTTTTATTTAAACTTTTCCCTAATGCGTTCACAACCCAAACATTGCAGCGTTATGATAGCGTTCCAGGGCCAAAGTCAATCTAAGACATCATTATGGTTCATGATGCATGTACAGGTGTTGAAGCAGCAGACACTACTAGTAATAAAAAATAAGACTGTATTTTTAGTTGTGTAATGTAAGATGTTATTAATAACTGGTAAGGTTATTTTTTTTAAACAACATAATTGAATATTTTCATTTAAAGAGCTACTATTTCACATTTCTACCTCAGTGCTTTCTAGCATTGTAAGTTACAAACAGACACAAAACAAATAAAAAATGGAATGGAATGGAAACCAATCCATTAAAAAAGGATGGCACAATAACTCAAGCTTATATCAAGGGCAGCAGCACTGAAATACGTTCTCCTCGGCTAGGGATTTCCACAAGTGTTATTCACCGTATAAGACAAAAAAGAGGTGAAAACAAGTCCATTCTCTTATTGCACAAATGAGGTTAGAAAATTATCTGAAAAGATGCTTGCTCAAAAGAATAAAAGATCACAGGAAGGTAGGGTGGGAAGGGTCCACCCAAGGTCATCTAGTTCAGCCCCCTGCTTAAACCAGGACAGGATCATCCCTGATTAAACCATCTCAGTCAAATCTAACCCAGCAGTGCTGAACCCCTGGCCCATGGATTGTATCCCCATGCACTAGACTGGGTGCATGGGGCCCAATCCCAACATGTAGGTCTGGCCTGGGGCCCATGGCCCAATCCTAGCACACAGAATCCAATCTGGCCCCAAGCTGTCTGGCCCATGGAACAACACTGAGCACCACGGATCTAATCTGCTCATGAAAACTTCCAGGGATGGAGAGTCCACACCTTCACAATATAAATATAATATAGACAATACAAACAAGTAAGAGATCAAGATGGCTGTGATATGTGGGAGAGATTATTACAGGCAACCCCGGCTTAACACTGTTTCACTTAGCGCTATTTCGCTATAACGCTCATTTAAAATTGATACCCGATTTCACTTAGCACTCAGCGAGTTTCATGGTCGCTGTCCTGGTTCATTAAAACAATTGTGGTCACCATCTTGGGTCATCAAATACGTTTGATTTCGCTTAACGTTTGTTTTACTTAACACTCATTTTTTCAGGAACCAATTAAAAGCGCTAAGCGGGGGTTGCCTGTATTTGGAATTGGTGTGTGTGGGGGGTGTTAATTTTTAAAAGATACAATACAGTTTAACTAACATTTTAAAAACCTAACACTTGCAGTTTGTCTTTACTAGCTACACTGATAGCTGCTACAATTTTCCCTGTCTACTCAATCATTTTTTTAAAAAGTGTTAGTTAAAACATGTTAG